TGGGGTGGAGTGTCTGTGATAGCATCTTCTCCAGAGAGGGACCAAAGCCAAAACCTTTGTTCTCTCCTGGATGGTTCTGTGATTTGAAACAATGCTGCTTTGATTTCTCCCCGGGAGCCGGTACTTCCCTTTCCTTGGCTGGAAAGAAGCAGAGACTTCACTTCCTGCCTCAGCCTGCTGCTGCATTGTCCGGCCCGCATGTGCGTCCCCCTGCCGGGGTGCAGACACACTCCTCGCTTCTCTCTCCTCCTGCTGCTGAAGCGGCAGCTGAAGCAATGCCAGGGACCACGTGTGGGCCAAGGAGTTAGGAGAAGGGAGCGCCACTGTATTCCTTGGCCTTGAGCGATTATGTGAGGGCCAGAAGTTCAATGGATGGTAACGCCTTGCTTCAGCAACCCGCAGCTCTCTTGCTGGTCTCGTCTGAACTTTCTGGCGTAGGAACCAGACATTCTTCTTTTCCATGGTTCACAGAAATCAAGTTTCCACTTTTCCGATCATCCAAGAGGACTCCGGGAGTCCTCTTGCTGGAATCTCACATTGCAGACAGCTGATCTTCACAGCCCCTATTCAAGGCAACCTTGAAGTTTTCTGTTTTCACGTGAGCTGGCAGCATGCTCCCAATGACCATCATGCTCTGGCCAGTGCCCCCTTGTTCCCTTCAGTGGGGATAGCACGCGCCTTACAGTTTTTTGGCCCCAGGGAATGGGGAGAGGGTTTGGCCTTTGGAAAGAACTAAAACCTTTCATCCATAGAAAAAAGGAGGGAAGTCACGCGTTGGGGCAATTGCTGGCCAGTTGGTAGTTTCCATGGTAGGGAGAAATGAAGGGGATATGATTGATTCTCAGTGAGGTAGAAGCTGAGTCCCAGGACACTGTGGCTGGGGACGCAGTACAATTCTTGCTGGTCAGCAAGGGGCCTGCATTAGGTTGTATATCAGAGCTCATCACACTTGAACGGGCTAACAAAGAACCTAGGGATCCTGACCCAGTGGGACTGGAGTGAGACCAGATATTTTGCATTTCCTACAAACTCCCAGGTGGCACCAGCCCAAAGACTACACTTTGAGTAGCAGGTTGTATATCATTGTAAATGCATCCTTGCTGGTGGGACACCCACAAGTTTTTGTTGGTCCCCCGCCCCCTCCGCCAATATAGCTGAAAGGCCCGACAAGGTAATTTCATAAGGTAGGAGGCAAGAATCAATGTGTCGGTTAGGGGGTAAGGAGAGGGAGGTGGCCTAACCAAGTAGCAATCATTCATTAGAAATTTTAAAAAAAGAGGAGAAGATACAAAATGGAAAGGGAGCACACCAGGGGTGCAGTCAAGTCTGCTGGTGAGAACTTCAAAGGGCCTGAGTCCTTGGTGGAAAGGAGGGCAGAGTGGTTGGAAAGCACTAGTGGGAAGCAAGGTGAACACTGGCCACACCAAGGCCATTGGTGTGAGAGGAAATACAGCAGGGGAAGCAATGGCATTGTGTGTGTGTGTGTGGGGGGGGGGGGGGAGGCATTGACCAGCAGGTTTCCTTCAGAGCAAGAAGGTGACAGGAATGTTCAGAGAGTCATTGAGGACACAGGAACGTTTGCTGGTGATAGACTGTGGGACAGAGGGTGTGGAGGAAGGATTCAAGAGAGAAGGGGTTGAGGATTGGGAGATTCGTAGATGCGGAGAAGTTATGGGTAAGGATCCAGGGTGGATGACCAGGGGTCTCGCCTCGGGCTCTGGTGAGCTGAGGTGGGAGGAAGGCGTGATGAGATGATGGGTAATAAGTTCAGGTTGGATAAGGGGGCTGTGGGTGAGTACTGTCTCCTGCAGCTCCAGTAATGCAGGCATCTTGTCTCGGGCAGAGGGGCGGAGCACAAGAATGACAGGGGTGATGTCACTCCTGGAGCAGGAAGCTCGGGTGTCCCTTCTCTAGAGCCCTGTTGCACTGTGGCCCTGGAGCATGAGGCATATGGACGCAACCTTGTTTCTCCATGGCATGTTGCTATTGACGTCGCTTTTGTAACTTTTTTATTGATTGATTTTAGAGAGAGAGGGAGGGAAGCAGAGAGAGAGAGAAGAAGAGAGAAACATCAATGTGTTGTTCCACTTATTTATGCATTCATTGGTTGATTCTTGTATGTGCCCTGACCATGAGTCGAACCTGCAACCATGCTGTATCAGGACAACACTCTAACCAACTAAGCTACCCAGCCAGAGCTGATGTTGCTTTTTTTTTTTTTTTAAGTATATTTTATTGATTTTTTACAGAGAGGAAGGGAGAGGGATAGAGAGTTATAAACATTGATCAGCTGCCTCCTGCACAGCCCCTACTGGGGATTGCCCACAACCAAGGTACATGCCCCTGACCAGAATCGAACCCAGGACCCTTGAGTCCGCAGGCCGACTCTCTATCCACTGAGCCAAACCGGTTAGGGCTGATGTTGCTTTTTTAAAGCAACATAATTAGACAATGCAGTGTCTACATTACACTGGTGACTTAGTATTCCCTACTCAGCTTTTCTAAAGACAAAGTGATTATTGTGTCTTGAGGTCTAAATATCATATATGCGCCAATATATGGTGGCCTGAATATAATGTAATCAAAACCCCATTCTTGTCCTGGCTGGTTTGGCTCAGTGGATAGAGTGTCGGCCTGGGAATGAAGGGTCCTGGGTTTGATTCTGATCAGGGGCACATGCCCGGGTTGTGAGCTCGATCCTCATGGGCGGGCATGCAGGAGGCAGCAGATCAATGATTTCCTCTCATCAATGATGTTTCTATCTCCCGTTCCCTTCTTCTCTGAAATCAATAAAAATATATTTTTAAAAAAGAACTTCATTTACATTTCATAAAATAATGTGAAATTATATAAAATAATTAAATACCTTTAAATTCCTGATGAAATCTTTGACCAGGGTCTTGATCTTGAACCACTTTCCAGATCATCTAACATGGCTTTCGAGAGAACATTTCCTTCCCTTCCATGGCATTGCTTGAGATCCAGGCCGGAGAATCTGACCGTGTTCAGCTGGAAATACTACGCCTCATTACAAGTGCTCATCTGCATCACCTCGGGAGATTAGGCCTTTTATTTGTCCAGTCGGTGGGTATTTTCAGTCTCAACTGAGCGTATGATTTTTTAAAGCAATCCTTAAAATGCTTGTTTATAACTTTTGTTCACTCTTTAGGTTGTGTGATCATGTCTCCAGGAATAATTAATTGTTAAAGCTGTGTTAAACTTCTTTGTGCTTTTTTTGGTTTGGTCTGGTTCGGTTTGGTTTTGTACCAAGCCCATCAGAGGGCCTCCATAAACATTGAGAACTAGCCATGATTGGGCCATGTCGGGTTAATGTCAACCGATGGCTGTTGGCACCAATTCATTGCCAACAGGAATCCCTAATTTGAATCAGTGAAGAAGAAAACTATATTCGGTGTAAAACGGCTCAATGGTGATATGGCACAGCTGCGAAAGCAGCACGGCTGTGAGGTGGCCCCACGGCCCGGCGCCTCTCGGCGACACGGCTCTGCGCCTGATGGCCTGCTCTGCTCCATGCCAATCTGCTTTATGCTGTGCCGATCTGTTCTGCTCGGGCGAGACATCTTCCATGTTTCAGCTCAGCCCCAAGAGGCACAGTCCCGAATGGAAAAGTACAGTGCACTCTCCGAGCCAGAGGGAACTGGCTTATATGGACAGAAGTCCCTGTCCATCCTCATGTAAATGAGGACTCCAAGTCCTGGAAGTTTGATTGGCCCAAAAGGTGCTGTCCTGATTGGTCAGAATAGAGCCTGATTGGCTGGAGCTATGCAGTTCCTGTTGGATGGGGAAAACTTCAGTCCCATTGGTTGAAATAGGATTCCAGAACTCCTATAACACGTTAAGTGCCCAGCCTGTTTTGTTTCCCAGACGGAAAGTATAGTGTCAGTCACCGGTGACTGACAGGGCTGGCTCAGATGGCAGGAACAGTGCAGGCAGTTCTGTACAGAAGCAGGCAGTCTGGTGCCAGCTTCTGCTGGGCCAGAGCCCTGGCTTTCCTTGGACACCCCTTGGAAGGCTGTCTCTAAATCTGGTGAGATGAGTGGGAAAGAGATAGTCCCTGTCCTCCTGGCCCCACTACACAGCTGGTGTCGGAAGCTGCTCTGCACAGCCACCTCCATCAGAAGGTGAAGGATGGTCCTCATTCAGACTCTGGTCTCTCCGTGATAGAGGAGAAGGGAGACGGAGCTCTGTGGAACCAGGAGAAAGCACAGTTGGGTCCCTGGCTCTGCCTACAAAACTCTTCCTTGAATGATTGCTGGGAAAGTGACTCTTCCTTGAAGTCTCAGTTGCCCCAGGATGTTTCCTCTTCTCAGCGCAGGTGACACCTTACTCACATCTGAGTGTCCCCATGATCTGCTCCTGGCTGTCTCCCCTGCTGACCCGTGGACTCCTTTGGGGGAGAGACACTGCCTTAGCCATGCTGTGTCCCAGCCTTTGGCACAAGGCTGGCAGTGATGAGGCACTCATTTTTGAATGCACAAGTGAATAAATTAACATAATGTAGGAAACTGGGGGCTTTGTAATTGAATTGGAAGCATTGGGAAACGGGAAGGCCAGGGCAGCCACAAATGAAAAATCTTAAGTCACTGCAACAAGCACCTACTGATAACTACCCTGTTTTTAGTTTCCATCTAGAGCACTGGCACAGGTAGGTACAAACATTTTTATAATGTAGTGTATCGACTATGGTCAGTCTTTCACAGTTACCATGAGGTCAGTAAAGTTTCAAGGCCATCCTCTTACACTGGACTCTTTCTGGATCCTAAACCTAATTCTTTTAAGAGCCACACCTTCTCCCCACAATTGTATCAAATTCAGGTTCCACAAAACCTGGGCTTACTGTTGCATTCTATAGCTATTTATTGCATGGGGAGGGGTCGATTGGGAAAAAGGAGACATATGTAATACTTTAAACAATAAAAAAAGAGAAAGAAAACGAAAAATGATGGCTGCATTATAACACTAAATAAATAAATACCTAATTTTAAGCAAAAAAAAGAAAGCTATTTATTGATCTCTGATATGTGCCCAATACTGTGCTAGGCACTGGGAATAGAGCAGTGAATGAGAAAGACACTCCCAATCTTGGCCCTCTCTGCTTAGTACAGTGGAAAGACAGGCAGTAAGCTGTGGTCACAGCGCAGTAGTTCTACATGGGGGAGTGAGGTACAGAGTGGACAATTACTATTTTTTTTACTATCCACCCAGATCCCTTACAGAGTTTTTCGTTTCCCCCCATACTGTAAGTCTTGGTGGGAGTCTTGACACAACAGGGGCCCAGAAGGCCAGTCCTTGCTAAAGAAAACCAAGGCAGCAAGGGGTGGACACATGGTCCAAGCTCAATTAACTGCGAACTTCTCCCAGAGACTCTGCACCTGGACCGGAGGTCCCTGGAGAATTCATTCGCATTCTGGTCCAGGAAGCTCCAGGGTTTGATAGGGGTGGTTACACCACTGCCTTAGCCAGGTTCTCTCTGGCTGATTCTATCCAACTTCTTTTTTTTTAAAATTAAATCTTTATTGTTCAGATTATTACATTTGTTCCTCTTTTTTCCCCCCATAACTCCCCTCCTCCCAGTTTCCGCCCCACCCTCTGCCCTCACTCCCCACACACTATCCTCATCCATAGGTGCACAATTTTTGTCCAGTCTCTTCCCGCATCTCCCACACCCCTTTCCCCCCCCAAGAATACATA